CTAACAGGCAGTCCTATCTCATGGCTTTCGCGAAAGCATTATACTGTAGTTCTCTCTACAACAGAGGCAGAATATATCGCCCTGTGTCACTGCATGCAAGAGATGATATTCCTTAAACTTCTCCTCTAAGAACTTGGCTTTGCTGCAACGCAGGCTAACGCTATATACGAAGATAATCAGAGCTGCATCAAAATCTGCTACAACCCCGAACTTCACGGACGATCAAAACATATACGCGTACGATACTGTTTCGTGCAAGAAAAAGTAGAGCGGCATGAATTCAACGTCACCTACTGCAATACGAAAGAGATGATAGCTGACATCTTTACTAAAGCTTTAGACAAGCACCAGTTCGGAGAACTAAGGGCGAAGCTCAGGATGAACTCCCTGAAAGTAGGATCCGGCCACTCAGTATAGAAATACACTAATAATACAACTGCATGAAGCGTGTCTTTATCCTGCGTTCTTTTTGGATTTTTTTCCCACTGGGTTTTATTTTTGTTTGTTTGCACAAGGTTTTCCCTCGTTGAGGTTTCCCTGGTCAAGTGCCGAATTATTTAGACACACGAGTTTATACATAATAATCCATGCATAACAATCAATTTGCTGGTAAAGTTCATTATCAGTTGGGCAAACCCGCGGAAATCCTACTGGCTCCTATCACTTAATTCTGCTTGCAGACAATGAACGAACGAACAAATGCATAGAAATCAATCCAATCCTCCACTAACTCGACAGGCTTACCTTCTTCCAAATCGTAGAAAAGCCGGTTGTTGTCGTGGACTGTGAGAACGAAAGCATGCCCGACGCTTTGATGGTTGTAAGCTGCAGCGACGTAAACACCATTCTCGATCTTGATCTCGCTGAGCACACGGACACCATGCCGACCAGGAACCGCGAAATTGTCCAAAGCAATGGCTCTGTAAATGAGTCACGACCAGCATCACGTAGACGACGCAAGAAGACGAGAACAACTTTCCACGAGAAGTCATCTGATGCTCCACAAAGTCGTCAATGTCCTTTTTCGTCACGATATCAGGACGGCCGACTAATTCTGCTGCACGTCTCAATGCGTTGAAAATGCAGAGTCCGCACCGATAGCATTCTTGCCATACCCATCGGTTGGCCAGGATTTCGCGAAGGTCTTGACTTCGGAAGTTTTTCACCTGTCCACCAGCTCAATCTCTTTCCAGAAGTCATCAGCGAGCAGCTGGGCACGAGGTTCCCATGTCCGCTGATAGTACCGTCGTCTCTTGACGAGAGGGTTAACCCACAGCACTTGATACTTGTATTCAAGGACCGAATCACCACGCCTATCATTAATCCGAGCAACCTGCCACTTTTTCTTGGTTGATGCGTAATTTGCCGTGACAGTCAATTTGGATCGATCGTAATTCTTGCCGTAAATGCGCCAGTACATCTCACAATTGCTGTCACTATCAGTGTTTGTGTCGCTAGACACATAGTTGGTGTCATAATGTGTCAAATCTGTTGTTGCAGTGCGACAAATGGAAGAATCCTTTAATTCCCCCACTTTAGTGACATTGGACTGTGTGGTGGACATTTGGGCTCGAGAAGCCTCCTCCTCTTCCTCCAGCGCGGCGCTGTGAGCTGACGCAAGTGCTGTTCGTAGCACCCGCTTCTTCTTCCCCCTCGTAGAAGAGTCCTTCGTAACTGGATAGGGCTCTGTGCCCACCGAAACAGCGTCTGTCAATGCTACCGTAGCTATTGAACCTTCTGGCGCAGCTTCAGAAGCTGGTCGCTCAGTCTCAGAGACTGCTTCCGCCTCTGGAACGGCCTGAGAAGTCGTCGTGCACGATG